GTAGACTACAATGGGTCTGTGCTCAAAGGCTGTTCTATAAAGTGGCGCAGTTCCAACTTTGCAAGGACAGCCTGGCATGTTATTTTTATTCGATCCTGTTGGAAATGTACCGGTACTTGTATTTCCCTGAATGGCCTGTGTTCTTTAAAAGTTTAACCCAGTTTGGAATGCACTGGTCAAAAAAATAGCACATGCTTCAATTAAAACCTGCTTTTCCAAGCTTACAGTTAGTTCTCACTGTTTTGTCATCGGATCATTGGTGTCACGTCATCATGTAATGGTTACCGAATAGTGATGCGCGGTTGAGCTAAAACGTCACCCGAATCCGCAGCTTCAAATAAATTATCCACCCGCCAACCGCCCGCACCTGTATTTTTGTCTGATTTACATAACCGCACCCGATCATCACATAGGGTTCGTACGTCATAAAAAGCCTGGAAAAGTCATTGAACAGCAATTTCCAGGCCTAGAAAGTTTTGTAAAAATAAATAAACTCAAAAAGTTTTTGAAAAGTCATGAAAATCTATTTCACAATTCTCTGTATAATAGAATTATGTTTAATCAGATCCTGAATTTCGTTGCGGGATTGCGCATACATCACATTACTCATTCCCGCAGCTTTCGACACCAAAGCGCGTACTGCGAGTACCAAATTGAGAAAGTACTGTCGGGTTTGTCTTAAGTTAATGTAAACAGCTGCAAACTTTCTGCTCGGCGAGAAGAAAACCAGTTCGTGAACAGATTCCATTTCAGAGCAGAGGCTTGCCTCGTAGAGTGAGCTCTAGCCTGAGTGATCGTGTTAACCACCGCTGGTGACAGATCAGCTAGGTCTGCCGCGTCCCGTCCAGGAGCCACACGTGGAGGTTCCAAAGGTCTGGACGCGGGTGCCAAGTGGTGCCGAGCCCCTGAGAGAGGATATCTTGTCTTGTGCGAGAAGGCTCACTGGGAGAAACGCATACTTGCGAAGAGCCCGAGGCCAGCTGTGTGCCAGTGCGTCCGTGCCGAGGGGGGCCTCGGTCAAGGAGCGGAACTGCCGCAAGGCCAGATGCACTGCCAACAGCTCTAGGCAATTGATGTGCCAAAGCAGTCGGGGCCCGGTCCAGAGCCCCGAGGCTGCCTGCCTGTTGCATGTAGCGCCCCAGCCCGTACTGGAGGCATCCGTCATAACAACGACAAGCCGGGACACTTAAAGCAAGGTCCGGCCAGGGGCTGAATAGGCGGTGACATGTTGGTGTGATGGTGACACGATGTGTACCGCGGCGCCATGCCCACCTCGGGACTTGGGAGTGTAGCCAGTGCTACTCATAGGAGCAATCCGAGCAGCGTGACTGCAGCTGCGGATGCCATATGCCCCAGGAGCCTCTGAAAGTGTTTCAGTGGTACCATCGTCCTGCCTCTGAAGGAACTCAGGCAGTCCAGCACTGACTGGGCACGCTCATTGGTGAGTCGCACCGTCATACTCACCGAGTCTAACTCCACACCAAGAAAAGAGATTCTCTGCACAGGGCAGAGCTTGCTCTTTTCCCAGTTGACCCGAAGCTCCAACTGGCTGAGGTGCCGGAGCACCAGGTCCCTGTGATCGCACAACTGTTCTCGTGACTGGGCCATAATGAGCCAGTCGTCTATATAGTTGAGGATCCTGATGCCCACTTCCCGTAACGGGGCAAGGGCACCCTCCGCAACCTTCGTAAAGACGTGGGGGGACAGGGACAGTCAGAAGGGGAGGACCCTGTACTTCCATGCCTGAACCTCGAGCGCAAACTGTAGGAACGGCCTGTGTCGAGAGCACATCGAGACATGAAATGCGCTTCTGCGTCAACATCTTGAATGGGAGCTTGAGAAGGGCCCGATTCGAGACTCGCAGATCCAGGATTGGCCGGAGGCCACCGCCCTTTTTGGGTACGATGAAGTAAGGGCTGTAAAAACCCCTGCTTCATCTCGGCTGGAGGGACCGGCTCGATTGCATCCTTTGCCAGGAGGACAGCAATTTTCTCGCGCAAGACAGGTGTGTCTCGGTCTGCCACCAAAGTCTCGAGAATGCCGCTGAACTTGGGAGATTGCCTGGCGAACTGAATCGCATAGCCGAGTCGGATTGCGCGAATGAGCTAGCGGGACGGGTCAGGCAGCGCAAGCCACGTCCCCAAACTCTGTACGAGTGACACCAAAGGAACAATCGACGCGCCCGCGGTGGTGCAGCGGAGGGGAGTCGAGCTGGATAGGCCAGAAGGCATCGCGTTCTGACTGATCACAGCAGAACTCCCCGTGTCCCCGGAGGGACTGGCCAGAGCTGCGTGGAGAGGCAATGCGTCTCCCAACCGCAGCTTCTTGGCTGCTGGCAAAGGGGGGCATTGTGGGCGAGAGTGAGGAAGCAGCGCATCCAGCCCCCGGGCCTGAGAACCCGGAGGAAAAGGAAATTGCTCTTTCTTTGAAAATGTGGGCCTTTTCACATTGAGCCAGCGGCGGAACAGAAACAAACAAAAACTGAAGATTCTGTCGCTGTCTCTGCCATCTCCTGAGAAAGACCAGCTTCCCACATCTCCGGGTTGCCCATGTCAGGGCCGCTTCATCGACTTCTTAGACGACACTCTTGCGAGAGGCTCAACGCACTGGCCTTGATGTTGTTTCAGCACGGGGTGGAGCGGCTCTGGAGGATGCAGGAGGGCGCCCACGGCGACGAGCAGACTGGGGCTTGGCCCACGGCGGAGCGGTGGCAGATGGTGCATCACACCGGGGCAAGATGTGTTGGATGGCCTCGGTCTGCTTCTGTACTGGGCACAGTCCTCGACGGCATCGCCGAACAGTCCAGTCTGGGAGACGGGAGCATTGAGAAAGCGCACTCTGGCGACATCGCTCGTCTCAGCAAGGCTGAGCCATAGATGGCGCTCTTGGGCCACAAGTGTGGACATCGCCTTCCCGAGGGACCACGCTGTGACTTCTGTCGCCCGTCGGGCGAGGTCAGTCACCGAGCACAGCTCCTGCATCAACCTCGGGTTGGTACTACCCTCCTGCATTTAAATGCCCTGGCTTGGTGTACTCGCAGGATAGCCATGGCATGCAGGGCAGAGGCGGCTTGGCCCACAGCACTGTAAACTTCAGCCGCGAGAGCGGCCGTCAGCTTACAGCTTTGGACGGGAGGCGAGGACAATTCCTCCAAGTGGCGGCATTTTGTGGGCACGAGTGCACCACAACCGCGCTCTCCGCCTGGGGAATGTCAACGTACCCCCTAGCCGCCCCGCCATCGAGGGTAGTGAGGATGGAGGTAGACGAATGGCTTCTGGCCGAAAAAAGGAGCCTTCCATGACTTCATCAGATCCTCATGCACCTCCGGGAAGAAAGGAACCAGGGCAGGGCGTGGTTGCGAGCCACGACCCGTACCGAGGAACCAATCATCCCGCTGCGAGGGCTCGGGACCAGGAGGTGTGCACGCCTCAAGCCCGATGCTCACGGCGGCCCGGGAAAGCACGACCGTCAACTCTGGTTCCGATTCGGCAGTGGCGGCAACACCCGAGGGGGGCCGCCCCGCCGAATCTTCATCCTCAGAGGACGATTGCCCGATGCTACGATCGACATCTGAATGAAACGCTGGGCACGCCGTGAGACGGCACAGCAGAATCACCAGGGAGCCGCACAGAACAGCTGCTGCGGGAGGAGTGAGAGGTCCGTGGGGACTGACCCGGCGGAAAGGCTCTCACTGTAACCCTCAGATCGCCCAGAGCACTAACTGATGGTTGGCTGCTCGCGGCAGAGAAGCCAGCGCGGGTAGTGACAGAGGGAGCCCCCCCATGCCCGTGAGGAGAGAGAGGCGTGATCGCAGCGCTGCCATGGTCACACGCTCACAGTGAACGCATGAACCCTCCACGAACGCAGCTTCAGCATGCTGAATGCCCAGACACTGAAGACAACGATCGTGGCTGTCAACAGAGGATAGGAAAACGGCCGTTTTTAAAAAGACGCGAACCGACCGTGATTTGCTCTTTTAGGAAATCTGCTCTTTTAGTTGAAGTGCCCAGGGGAATGGCTGCAGACAGGAACACCGCTGTTCGCACCGTGATGCCAACCAGAACAGCTTCCAGACAGATGATGAATGGCTTTGTGGAGATCAACAAGTTCATCCACTGGGCTCCGAAGCAAAAATCTGGAGTGGATGCACATGTTGCCTATTTATACCCGTATGCACGGGGAGTGGCTCAGGTATGCAAAATCCACTAGCCAAATTTCATTGGCGTTTTCTCTTAAAGTCAGAGATGATTGGGGCTCCCAAGTGAATCCCCATAATGTCGACCACGACATTACTCGTAGTGACCGACAGATAGGGAACTGTGCTGGCAAAATTAATCACAATGAACAATTTCTCAAAAATGACATTTTTTTCACATTCTCCATTAAAAGACCTTGATGATGTATGATTTGTTGGAATCGGACAAAAGATGGCTGCGCTACACCTGTTTGAAGTCGACATCTAAACAAAAAGCATTCAAGAAAAACAAAATAATCAAATGTAAAAATCCCTTTAGTGTGTTCAATACAATAAATTGATTATTACAACTACAAAAGCAGTTCAATCAGCAGTTCAATACTTTTATTGTTAGATCAACATTAATGAGGCGGTCTATTAAGACCTACTGTAATGCACGGATCTAATATAATGTTACACGTCAGATGTTTTTCCCTAACAATTCACCGAACGTTCACTTTTGTTTTGTTTTGATTATGTTTGCGTGAATACTTAAATACTGTACACTGTAAATTATTTGACCGTAAATTCACAGTAAATTACTGGCTTTGTTCATTTCCCATGAAAGTTCATTGACCATAAATCCCAAATGTAGGTCTAAATTTGAAGTAAAGTTAGCTGTCATTAAACTGATCTGCTCTGCTTTATTCCAGGAAAACTATAAAAGCTTTCTTTTAATAATGGTTTAATTTTTTTTTCTTCATCTACAGAAGTTAGCTGTGAGAGTGAACAGCTCATCAATGTTGACATTGTAGTTGGAAATCCAGATATTGCTCCACCTTATAAACCTGGACATATTTTAGTTTTTCGATGCACAGATGTGAACCTGAAGATGCACGGCCAACGAACAATTGAATGCCTGTCCAATGGAAAATGGGATTATCCATATCCGAAATGTGGAGGTATGAAGAAATACTGCTATAATATACTTGCTTTGAGCATTTAAGAATTGTTTTTGTTGAAATGTTTGTCAACATGCAAATTATAAAATGTTTTTCATGTATAATAAATGCATGCACTGTATATATATATATACATATATATATATATATATATATATATATATATATTCTTGATACCAACAATTGAAAGAAAATAAAAAAGGTAATGACAACGTTACCATCTATGTGTTATTCATTAAAACATCTATCATTAATCCATCAAACATTCACACATAAAACCAGTTCCAAACTGACAATTACTTTAAGATTTTGTTTTCTGTCCTTCTTCATCTCAAAGTGAGTTGATTAACAGCTGACTAACCCCAGTCTCCACTATACAGCAAAAAAATACAAATATGATATACTGGTACAGCTGGGCAAAGTTAATTTTGTGAACTTATATGATTTTCACCTATAAGAACTGTAGTTTTAATCCTTGACCTATTATATTAAGACAAATGACAACTTCTGATGAATTAATAAATAAGTTCAGATGGATGACTGCAATAACTAGTATTTCTTCTTTCTCTAGATGTAACATGTCTTCTAAACACAAAAGAGAACAACATCAAAATGGATCGATTTCCTGATTTTGAGTGTCCAGTCAAATCTGGATATAATTTAACGTTTTCATGCAATGGACAAGGACTGATTTTAAAAGGACAGAGAGAAATCACCTGCCAGTCAAATGGAGAATGGAGCAGCCCTTTTCCAAAATGTGAAGGCAAACACACAGAAGGTAAAAGCATTGAATAAGTTGTCAGTATATTATTATCTCAAGCATTAATTTTTCTCATTCAAATATTTGGACAAATTGGCTCACAACTCATCGGGTCTTTAGTCTCTCTTGATTTGGGCCAAGAAGCAGCCATCGAGAACAACATAGCAACCACAAAGTTATGAACTAGTAATGTGGCAGCGGGTTTAGCATGAATAAACACCACTCAGATTTTCTTCAGAAAATCAGAGTAATCCAAATCTATTTAATATATTATATTATTGAAAAATATAATATTAGCCCACACAACTAAAATTGGCACATAAATACGCACGCAAGTTTCTCTTGACTTGGTCTAATTCTGCAGCGGGTTTTGCATGGATAAACACCACTCATTAATAACATGTTCTGTGGTTTAACAGCAAAAAAAAAAATAATAATCTGGCTAATATTAAAATTTACTAATGCCACATTTTTTTGGTGATGACAGTCTCAGAGAAATGTGGACCACCACCAGACGTGAACGATGCAGATACAATAGAAATAACAAAAAAGGAATACAATACGGGGGAGAGAGTTGAATACAGCTGCTTTATTAAATACACATTGGATCTGCGTCCATCTTTCTCCAGATACTTGACCTGTGTGCAAGGAGAATGGAGAGGGAATATTAGGTGTTTAAGTAAGTATGAACATGCTTCACCACATATATCATATAAAAACATCATGATGTAGTCTTGTAGTTTAAGTTGTAGGTTGTGATGATTAGTTAATGAATGTATATTGTGACACTGATAGAGACATGCTGGGTTTATTTCAGAGCCCTGTACAGTGACGGTGGAAGAAATGGAAAGAAGAGGTTTAGAGTTTGCCTATGTTAATCTGCAAAATATGTTCGTACCACATGATGATCACATCACCTTTATGTGTAAGAGGGGCAAAGTTTTAGGAGGTGTTCCCCTAAGACCACAGTGTAATGATGGAGTGATGACTTTACCTGCGTGTGTGTGACAGTGGGAATAAATCATTGCTAAATCACTACTAAGTACAAACTAATGGAGCAGATCAAAATAAAACATTTTTTCCCAATCGGTTTCTTTATTTTGAATTTCTTGCAAATAAAACTAAAGAAATGCTAAAAGCAATATTTAAAATGAGCATGTTTGAAAATAACATTAAACCATTTAATGCCAGCTAAGTGAACATATATAGTGTACAGAGTACAATAAAAACTTTAAAAAAAAAATGTAAATAAAAAAAGTTGCAAAAACTGTATAAGAGAAAGTTAAAAATAATAAAGTGTGTAGCCAATTTTATTTTATTTTTTTACTATCACGCAAATATGGGGGAAAAGGAAATACATGTGTTATTAAACTTTCTTTTTACTTTGTGCCATGTGCTCTGGGTTTTCTGCTGATTATGAATTTGCTTATATATATGATCATGATTTATATGAAACACAGCAATAATACATAAATAATAGACCCTTTAATATCTATATGCATTAAAGTGTATTGACATGCTTTCTGTGCTTATTTTATGGAGGTATGACGCCATCTTTTAAAAAAGCATACTGGAATGCCAGCCATGCTATATGAATGTTCTGTACTTTCATAGCAGACAAGTCTATATAAAATACATCGACTTTTTAGACTTTTCAAAATAAAAGATTCAGCTAATATTAGTGCACAAACATGGACAAAATGTTTAAACCAAAGTCAGCAAATTGAATTGCAACATAAATTTGTGAGGAAGAAAGCTGTCAAGTTTCCATCAAATCATAAACATTCACACATAAAACCAGTTCCAAACTGACAATTACTTTAAGATTTTGTTTTCTGTCCTTCTTCATCTCAAAGTGAGTTGATTAACAGCTGACTAACCCCAGTCTCCACCATACTGCAAAAAATAAAAATATGATATACTGGTACAGCTGGGCAAAGTTAATTTTGTGAACTTATATGATTTTCACCTATAAAAACTGTAGGTTTAATCCTTGACCTAGTATATTAAGACAAATGACAACTTCTGATGAATGATTAAATAAGTTCAGATGGATGACTGCAATGACTAATATTTCTTCTTTCTCTAGATGTAACATGTCTTCTAAACACAAAAGAGAACAACATCAGAATGGATCGATTTCCTGATTTTGAGTGTCCAGTCAAATCTGGATATAATTTAACATTTTCATGCAATGGACAAGGACTGATTTTAAAAGGACAGAGAGAAATCACCTGTCAGTCAAATGGAGAATGGAGCAGCCCTTTTCCAAAATGTGAAGGCAAACACACAGAAGGTAAAAGCATTGAATAAGTTGTCAGTATATTATTATCTCAAGCATCACTTTTGCTCATTAAAATGTATGCACAATATATATATATATAAAATATAAATATAGGCTCACAACTCATCGGGTCTTCAGTCTCTCTTGATTTGGGCCAAGAAGCAGCCATCGAGAACAACATAGCAACCACAAAGTTATGAACTAGTAATGTGGCAGCGGGTTTCGCATGAATAAACACCACTCAGATTTTCTTCAGAAAATCAGAGTAATCCAAATCTATTTAACCCTCTGGGATATCGTGATTTATAAATGACACTAAGAAAATTGCATTTAAAATTCAATATTAATGTTCAACCAACAAAATGTTATTTTAGTGATGTCAAATGACATCCCCTTCTTCAACCAGTAAAATTTAAATTTATTAGCCATGTGCTTCACATTTTTGGTAACTAAAGGAGATTTTAGCACATGTTAGGTCACATGCTCTCAAGGCTCCAGTGAGCTCAGTTTAGACTAGAAAATACGGTCCCACTTAGGTGGCCTTAAGTACGATGTACTGTACTTACATTTAAATTAATCATTTGATACAATGCACATATTGTGTACTTACATGTTTTTACATAGTAATTATATTTTTAAAAATACCTGCATGTAATTACTTCTGTAATTAATTTCTGTAATTACATTTATAGTTACACTGTTGACCCATCCCTTACATTTTAACCCACCCTTAAACCTACCCATACCACCAAACCTGTTCCTAACCTTACCCGTATCCCACCTCAATAGCAGCAAAAGTGTTTTGCAATACTATATGAACACAATAAGTACATTGTACTTATTTTTTGATGTAAGTACATAGCAGTTAAGGCCACTTAATATAAAGTGGGACC